CATTTCAATTCACAAATAATACATACACAATCTTTAAAATTTCACACCGATCATAATGAAAGAATATTTCCACTTTAATAATGTAAAAGGACAAATAATTCACATAATTACATAAAATGTATAGTAGTATAATTAATTTTATCAATACTTGAAAAATATTTAAGTTTTTCCACTCACAAGCAATTTATGTGGCAATTAGTTTGGCTGATAAGCTGTCCCGATATCCATATCGCCGCCTGATATGTGATATAATGTTTATATTAACAATTAACCATTTAAGTAACTCCAATAATTAAATAGGCGATACTAAATCTTAATATTTATATACTTGAGCAATTTTCCCATTTCCTTTAATCACTTAAGCTGTTATGTTCTTTCCTTTAACTTAATTTCATAACTTATTAGACATAATACAATAGTTCCCTTTCAATAAAATTAAATTTAAACTAATAATCTAACAACTCTAAAATTTAACATTAACTTTTGAATAAGTAACTTTTTACTTACCTGTAGAAATTGAGGAATTCAAGCTTAATAAGATGAAGCACTTATTTCCCAACCTCGTTTCCAAACTTTCCTATTTTTCCTTTTTTTTTCCTTCTTCTTCTTCCCTTTTTTCTTTTCTTTCTTTCTTTCCTCTCATGGTTTCGTTCTCTGCTCTCTCCGTTTGCTCTCCCAAGAATGAAAAAATGAATGGATATGGTTCAAGTTAAATGGATAACTATAGTAAAATTGCAAGACAAGTCCCCGATCTTCTTACAATATCACATTTAGTCCTTTCATTTTCAATAATATAAACTAAATCCCTAGATTTCTATATATATTAATTCTAGCCCTTCAAGTATTAGCAATTACCAATTAGACCCCATAAAAATCATTTATTCAATTTAGTCCTTATTTGGCTTTGACTTTGACTATAAATGAATGAGTGTAACACAGAAGTCCGAGAAAAACACAATAAGAGTGTTAATTATAGAAAAATAGAGTAATAGAACTAAAGAAAAAGAAACATTGTCCACTAACCCTGCAGGAAGTCGAGTGTTGTTGACCACTTGTGATCACCTATTCACAACTATTATACCTGGGGCAAGGGTTGCCTGCATCAAAAGGACAAACAAACCTATTAAGTAAACGAACAAAGAATTTTAAAAAAATAAAATTTAAAATTTATCTATTTGATTATGGGTATGTAGTCTATCTTAAGTAGCTTGCAAAAAGTTTTGAATTTTGAGGGAAAATTTTGTTTGGCTTTAATGGCAAGGGTTGGAAGATATTTTTCAGTTTCAGTTGATTGTGGGAAGTTTTGTTTTCGGAGGATTCTCTCAAAGGTCAAAGCCTGATATTTGGTTAAAAATCTTTGCCTTATTATAGTTCTTCAACTTGGTGGATTTATTATAAATAAAGATTAAGGGTTTGAACAAAGTTCAACTTGGTGGAATTGATGTTTGGTTTTTTGCAAGGAAAAGCCGATATTCTTGGAGAATTTTTCTACATAATTGGGTTATTTTCAGCATCAAAAAGCCCCCATTGATCTGGTAAAAAGATAACTAATTTACAGATTTTGGGGTTAAGAGAGAGATTCTAAGAACAACATATAAGGTGGTTGAATCAAAGTACTTATGTTTGTGTATTTTACAAGTTCGATCTAATTTTCTTGGAGAATTTTCCCGCATAATTGGGTTATTTTGGGCACAAAAATCCTCCATTGGACCAGTCAAAAAGACAGAAAATATGCAGAATTTTTGAGCCAAGAGGAGATTCTTGGAGGAACGTATAAGGGTAGTTTTATTTCATCCAATGTCAGGGGCTCCAAAGGAAAGATCGGCAAATGTTGCTGATTCCCAGCCTAGATCAGCTGGAAACAACGCATTTTGATTGAGATTAAAAAATGGGCAAAAGCTCCTGTCAAATACTTTGAAGTAGGTAGAGGAGTCAATAAAGAAATTAGATAAGAATAGACTGATCATTGTTAAAAAATTATCTAAGGCAACACATTCTATTAGTGTTCCTTCGATGCTCCGATGACATGAATTGGTGTTGCGCTCTTTGGTGCTATTGTTTACTTTTATTAGTGATAGTTCTCTTATATATTTTGTTATTTATTGATTGCACGTTTGTATTAGGATTGAATATGTAATGAAAAGAGAACATTGAAACTCAAGTTTTAGTACCAGGGTTTTTGACACAAGTTATCTCACTATGCATCATGAAGAAGCTAGAGGATTAATACTTCACGAAATTTGCATTTTATTGTTCCTTGTCCAATTTTTGGGTTATTTTTATTTTATTGAAATGAGAGGATAAACCCAGTAATCGAAAATTCATGGCTGATTTCAACAAAAGAGAACGGAAAACGCATCTGGTTTTATTTTGTGGAATGAAGAAACGAGCTTAACACTGAAGCACTTTACCATGAGAACTTACCAAGGTAATTTTAATTCGAATTAGAAGAAAAGGGAGGTGGATGGACAAGCCTGATGCATCTGACCAAGGGATTTTCTCTAATTGTGGTCAACATCCTCCTGGCACCTAACCTCCCCAAGGCTATCCTCTGAATGATATCCTCCATAAGGATATCCATTGGTTGAGCAACATAAAACCGAGAAATTTACTCCCAACAGCTTATCCACTTTCAAGGAAAATGACTTCATGCTTAGCATGCCTTCAATGCCACCGTCCTAGAAACACCGCTAAACAGTGCACCAATTTGACATTGTTGAAAAAACTAATTAAATCTCCTTCCATTTGTTTACTTGACATCAGTTAGCCATATCATCTCGAAGCAACATCTCCTATCAACTTTGGTGATAACCCTGATGATAAAGTTGACCTAAAATCATTTGTCATCTGTAGATTGCAGTTCTCCAGTCTTAATATGACACCCCATCTTCCATCTTGTATTGCTGTGTAACTCTCCTACGCTAGCCCGAACGGAAAAGAGTTGCCACATTTGCAACAGTTTTCCTGTTGAAAGATGCTGTTTTCAAAAGATGCCAGAGTGACAAAAGAATAATCTGCTTATTCTTCTGCATCATATAGGAATAACTCAACTTCCTGCACATCAAGATCTGCTCTAAAGGCTACCAACTTCAAAATATTGTATATTTCTTCACACTGTTGATGCAATCTATCTCCAGCAACAAATGCAGAAATTTGATCTTTGACCTTAACCCAAGACCATCCAGGTTCCTTGATAACACCTTTTGATCTCATCAGTTTCCTCATGTCTGCTGCTTCCTTCCACTTCCCTCTTGAAGCATAAATGTTAGCCAAGGTTATATGTGTCCCAGCACAATATGGATCCAGTTCAAGTATCTGCTCTGCGGCACGCTTTCCACATTCGACATCTCCATGTACTCTACTGGCTCTTAACAGAGTTGACCACACAACATCGTCCTGTTCATATTGCATGCTTCTTATCATTTTTTCTGCTTCCCTCAACCGTCCAGCTCGACATAAGAGATCAATCATGCAACCATAATGTTCTTTGGTAGGATTTATCTTATACTCATTAGTCATTGAATCAAAATACTTAAAGCCGAGGTCAACAATTCCGACATGACTACAAGCACTAAGGACACCAATAAATGTAACAGAGTCAGGCCTCAAACCAACCACGGGAATTTTCTCAAATAAATCAATTGCTTCTTGGCAGTATCCATGTTCAGCATATCCATTGATCATGGCTGTCCATGATACAATATCATCATTCTCTGCTACCTTAAATATTTCTGATGCGTCTCCTATGCTCCCACATTTGGAATACATATTGATCAGAGCACTTCGTATCATAGCTCTTTGATCTAAACCAATCATAAGGACATAAGCATGAAGCTGCTTACCCTGATCAAGAATTGCCATACTTCCACATACACTCAACCCGCTAGAAAGAGCAAACTCTGTGGGGTTTGGTCCTCCTCTCCTCATCCATGATAGAAGCTCAAAAACCTTCTCTGCAAAACCTCCTTGAGCATACCCGGAAATAATAGTACTCCAAGNTACCCGGAAATAATAGTACTCCAAGAAATGATGTCTCTTCTGGTCATTTCATGAAAGGCTATTGAAGCTGACTCACAATATCCACATTTTGAATACATTGTCATGACAGAATTTACCACAGATAATGAGTCCATGAGACCTATGTGCAAAACATGTGCATGTAACTGTTGTCCCCAATCAAGTCTTGAAATATTGGCAACACCGGAAATGACTGCTGCATAAGTATACTCATTAGGAGATACATTTGAATCTCTCATCTGTAGAAATGCATCAATTCCCTGCTTCTCTTGGCCCATCTGGATGTATGATGTAATTATAGTCGTCCATGAAACCACATCCCGCTTATTCATGCTTTTAAATAAGAACAAACCACATTGCAATCTCTCACACTTGTTGTACATGGTAGCAAGACTATTGGCCACATATGATGTCACATCTACTCCATTCTTCATAGCTCGAGCGTGAATTTCCTTCCCATACTTCAAATATCTCATATCAGCACAAGCCTTCAAAGCAATGGCTAAAGTATATGAATCATATTCAACACCGTCTCTCCACATTTCAGCGAAATAGATCAATCCCTCCTTGTTAAAACCGGCACGAACAAGCCCCGTAATAATGGCAGTCCAAGAAACAACATTCCTTAATGGCATCTCATCAAACATTCCACAACCCTCCCAAACCCTCCCATTCTTCATATACATATCAAGAATCGCACTCCCCACAAAAACAGAGTTTAAAAAACCAGTTTTCACTGAAAACCCATGTAACATTTCCCCATATTTCACATTCATATTTAGCCCACATGCCTTGAGTACAAGGCTAAGTATGAAGGGGTCCATTTTGAGGCACTGGTCGACCCACATTTTGGAAAACAAAGACAATGCCTCAGATGAGTCAGACGCGTTTACATAACCGGAAATCATGGTTGTCCATGAGATTTCATTTTTGTGAGGAATTTCATCGAACAACTTCCGAGCTTGATTCAAGTTTCCAAATTTCAAAATCTCTTTTAGTTGAGAATTCACTTCTAGCATTTCGATTTGAATGTCTCCATGGGGTTTTTGTGTCAAGTGATTTCGGAGTTCCTCTTGAGAAAAAATGTCCCTGGATTCTGCATAGGCAACGGCAAATGTTGCACAAAATCTTCTGACAACATAACGCTGTGCTGATAACATCATTTGATAATCACCAGATTTATAAGAAGGGTTTTAGCAGTCCTTAACGTTGAGGCCTAGAGCAACAACAACAACCCAACATTTGTTATGATGTATGGTAATACCAAAATAACTGAAATAAGGTGCTGAAAGTTTATGAGAATAGGTTTTACGGGACAAAACAGTTTAGAAGTTAAAAAATTTCATAAGAATAAAACGCAAAATGTAATAAAGAGCATATATATATATATGTATACATACATATATATATATATATATAGGGTAATTAGCACATAATGTGGACCTTTCACTGTTATTATGAAAAACGTCCTTAAATTTTATTTTTTGGCTTTTTCACCCTTATTTCAACATTTTATTGTGCAAAAGGTCGTTTTCATCCATTTCTCAATTAAAAATTATGAAATGACAAATATATACCTTTCTCTTTAAATAAAACAAAATGAAAAAGAAAAAATTAATTGCATCCATAATCCCATTTTTTTTAAAAAAGCACAAATGAGTCTCAAATAAATTATTAAAAAGGTAATTAGCACATAATATCCCTATCTTTTACCATTATAGCGAAAAACGTACATACCTTTCATTTTTTTTGACATTTTCACCATTAATTATACATTTGATTGCACAACCCATCCTTTATATCAATTTTCATTCAATTTCTCAATAAAGAACCGTGAAATGACGAATATAAGTTTCTATTTTTTTTTATAAAAAAAAAAGAATTTCAAAGAATTTTTTTTTTTTTAATTTCTAAATTTTTAAATAATTTATTTGAGACTTGTTTGCACTTTTTAATTTTTTCAAAAATTTTATTATTTTTTTAATAAATTTAATTAGGACTCGTTTGCACTTTTTTAACAAAAACTTAATTTCTAATTTTTTAATATTTTATTTGGGACTCATTTTCACTTTAAAAAAACTATTTTCTGATTTTCTAATAATTTATTTGGGGCTCGTTTGCACCTTTTTAAAAAAAAATTAATTTCTAATTTTTTCATAATTTATTTGGAACTCGTTTGCACTTTTTATAAAATTTGGAATTATGGTTGCAAATAATTCTTTAGCTTTTTTATTTAAATTGATTTCTCAATTTTGTGAAATGACGAATACCCTTCTCTTTAAATAAAACAAATATAAAATGTAAAACTAATTACAACCATAATCCCAAATTTTTTTAAAAAGAGCAAATGGGTCCCAAATAAATTATTCAAATGGTAATTAGCACATAATGTCTCTATCCTTCACTATTATTGCCAAAACGTCCATATCTCTTTTTTTTTTTTTTTTTACATTTTTACCCTTAATTACACATTTGATTGCGTAAACCATCATTTATCTATTTTCATCAAATTTCTCAATAAAGAGCTTTGAAATGATGGAGGGTCAATCGTCTTCGGACATACAATGACCCTAATTTTCAGATTTTCACTCCTTAAATAACACAAAAGTAAAAGCTTGGAATCAAGGCCACATTATATGCGTTAGAAAATCGATATATTTAATGATATGCCATTATAAAAGACCTAGGTTCATTAGAGACGATTTTAGAGACAATAATGAATCAGAAATGATGACAATTTCTCAAGACAATAGAATACTTATCTAAAGTTTTCAGCCATAAGGCAAGCATTTGTATTTGAGCAAAACTCCACTAATTACAACAAGCCCATCTAAATCAATCTTAAGTGTTGTTTTTTCACCTTGCTTAAACTGAAATGAGTTCACGAACATTTCCAATGATCTAAAATATTAGAACAAAGAATGACAGACTAAAACTAACAGTCTGGTATGGTTGTTAACGATCTAGCTTCACTGGATCTTCTAGAAAATGTAGAGATAAATTGGATGGAGTGAAAACAATTCATGCAGTAGTTCCCAAATTATTAGAATCAGGCTTAGTTGTTTGTTGTTAAAAAAAATATTTGCCAAACTTTCAATTTGAGTACTATTAAATAACAAAAGACTTAAAATTTTGTCCGATAGCAAAATGTTAGAATTTAAATTATAAAAGTTAGGAGCAGCACACCTTCGTTATGCGCACTCCAAGGCTTCTATGTCCTCCAGTCTCCAGAGAACTTGATGCAAATAAATGCTCCAAACCTCAAGGATCTGTTTGCCAAAGATTGAAACATAAATGACACTTCAGCCAATTATAAAACAAAAATTATATAAGAAAAAACATTCATTTAGGGACTGATAAATAGATCCATAGTTAAAAGTACCTAGGGAAATTGGAAAACCATAATAAACTAGTCTGACTAATTATGCCTCAAGCTATAAAAGTAAACTAAATGCAGATTTGAATCCATGGAGAGATATTCATATTTGTGATATTTGATTGCAGGATGCACATCTTAGATAGTATTCATAATCAGAACAATTCGGACAAAGTCTGCGTTAAAGTGACAAATACCCTATTCCAAGTTCCCTTGTGATTCATCAAAGAGACCTGACCGATTCAGATAGCGCTCTTAAGATTGCTGCTGTAAATAAGACAAAGAGAAATGCTTCTTCATTGATGGAGAGTAGTTCGGCCAGCATAAATAGTACTTAATCCCATGTCATTGAGGTTGGAAATTTGGTCACATCAGTTCAACTTTTTCCTAAAGTTCATCAAACGCACTCTCTCCGGCCAACATAAACAGTACTTAATCCCATGTCATTGAGGTCGGAAATTTGGTCACATCATTTCAAGTTTTTTTCTAAAGTTCATCACACGCATTTAGTATCCCTCTTGGGATATTCTATTGAAGGCAATGAAAGAATTCTGGTTTATGAGTCAATGCCTCAAAGGGGGCTCTCAGCGAGCATCTTTTTTAATGAAAGAGTATGAAACTAGAGCCTCTCTCTAGGAACATCCAGAATTCCAATTGGAAGCAACCCACAGAATAAATTTATTTACAGAGACAGCCCTCCACAAATTTTGAAATTTCAATAACTTTTATGAAACTAAAATAAGAAACCCATATCACAGTACAGAGACACCCCCTTACAAATTTTAAAATTTTAATAATTTTTATGAAACTAAAGAAAAACGTAAATCACAGATAATATCAACGTATACAGCAATGATAAGGTCGAAAAGCATATAAGCAATAATGAACTTGCACCGAAACTAAAGAAAAATCCAAATCACAATTACCATCGACATAAACAGCAATGATAGGGTTGAAAAGCATATAAGCAATAATGAACTTGCACCTCTGCAAATTATAAGAACCTGACCTCAGGTAATCTGGAAGCAAAGTGTTTAATATAATCCCTTCCAATATTCTTCACAATATTGTCTAATAGATAAAGAGATGGCAGGTTTTTCTCGCAAGGAACCTGTAAACGGATATCTAGGATCAGATAAAATATGGATAAGAAAAATTTGAAAACATTGTACCAGTGAAAGAGATATTGGCTACATAAAGCACCAGAGGACAAGCAGGGAAAAAAATACCAGATTCCAAACTTTAAGATTGGATCGAATGAACAATTCAAAATAAAGGCCAAATAGTAACCTACATTAAAGTTTTTCTGGAATTTATTAACCATGAAAGAATCATAAGCTCTTCCTGTCAATANTATATATATATATATATATATCCTGGGAAAAGGGTAACACAACGCTTTATAACCTGGAAATTGCTTGAGTTCGTATCATATTGGATCACACTATTAAGTTCTGTTACATAAGTAATCATTTGATTAATCAACTCAAAAGGTTCTTTAGTAAACACATGCATATTGAGAATATACCACCAACTTTACAATAATGGACATCCTCTTCAAGAAACCAGGAGAATGAATTAGAAACAACTTTTCACCGTATACAAAAGTGCGGATCGTGTAAAAGTGCGGATCGTGTCTTTTAGCAATAAGAAAAATGATTGGAAAGAATACAATAGAAGTTACATATAAAATCAATGACAGGGTTGCAAGAGGAAATTTTATATCTTACAAAGCCAAAATCGAAATTTAATTTACTTTTCTCTGATGAAAAGAAAACATAACCTTGAACTTCTACAGCTTCAAACATACAACCCAAATATTGATGTCGGATAAGAAAACTGCTCAACTAAAGAATATACATATATGAGACAAGTCCCATACAACTCAATGTGCTCAGAGAATCACATAATAGCAATTCATTTTTGTAATCAACACATTTAAAGCAAAGCATAGTGTATAAATCATCACAGATCATTTAGCCAAAATACAAACTCACACTGGCTATTACGAGTCAAACAGAGAAAGTCAACTGTTTTAAGCAATGAATAATCAATGCCATCACATAGGTGATAAAATGCAATATTAATTATTATAAATTAAAAGTTAATTTCCAGCTTCCCACATCTTTACCATTCCCAAATGATCAAGTGATTTCTTATTTGAGACGCCCCTACACAAATTTTGAGACTTCAATAATTTTTAGAAACTAAAAAAATCACAGTTAAAACCGGCATAAACAACAATGATAAGTTCGAAAAAGTGTAAAATATAAAATTAGAAAATAAACACGATAAATTTACAGCAAAAGTTGCCTGATATAATTGTTTTCTTGACCGGAAAAACACAGGGAAGGATGATGAAAGCACTGGCTGTAGCTTTAGGACAAAAGGACGTGCTTGATCATCGCAATTAACTTTTATGATCACTAAGGCTATAGAATCCTTCAAGCTTTTTGTTAACTTATATGAAGTCAAATTCAATCATTATACCAATAACCTGCTATGTTCTCAACTCACTTGAATTACATTATAGTCCAAAAATTTTCTGCTTCTGAACCATTAAAGAGGGAAAGAAAAATGTAATCAATGATTGGTACTTGGTAGAAGTTAATAGAGATTTAGAGGACAACTTGACATATCATA